AGGCCCTTGCCCTGGCATCCCGTCGGCAGATCACGCTGAGCCTTCCCTCGGCGGGCTGGCGGGCACGGGTGGCGCGCTCATCCTCTGCAGAGGGTGTTTTATTCAACGTGTTTGAAAATGGCTATACTGCACAGCTCATAGTTTCCAAGAAAATGACAACTGAGCAAAGAGGCCAGCAAGCACCTCCACCCCCCACCAGGCAAGGAGACAAGGCAGGTGGGAACGCATCATTTCTAAAAGAACAGGGCATTGAAGATAATGATGTAGCTGATCTCCCCACATGCACTGACATGCACCCCTGCGCCACAGGGAAGGCTGGCGGCATCTCCGAGAGGTGTTCCAATCATCACTAATACTGCGCAACAGTCTCAATTGGATGAGCGGGGCAACGTTGTGACCGACAATTCTCAAACGTTCGAATAAGACAGGGCCCCAGAACGGCGAAATATTTCCGAGGTCTTCGGGGAGACGTTGTCGCCGGCACTGGATACGAACGAACAGGAGGTCCTGCAAACGCTTGAGAGGTAACTGGCTCAACACGGTTTGGGCCCTGGCTTTTTGCAGACCAAGTTCAAACATATTGAAATAATTTTGGCGCGTCACGGCAACAAACTCGCTCGCACGCTCGCAAGTCATACGCCGAAAGGCGCGTGGACATATCTAGCATGAACAATACTGGGCAGCGCCTATTGCCCTGGCATTGCAATCCTTGGAAGCGGTAAATAGACACTATTACTTTGAAGGCGCTATCTCATTCAAAAAACAAGCCTTTTAGTAAAGCGCTGTTGCTCTGTTGCACGACAACCACGGCGGCGCGTCCGAAATGCCGAGCCACGACCTGCGCTCGCGCCCGGAATCTTCCGTCAAGAAGCATCCACAACTCGTTGAAAACACGCCCAAAGGTTCGCCGCGACCCGATGCAACGCGACCCTGATGACTCAAACAAATGCATGGCGGGGTGAGCCGGCAGGCAAGACACGGGCCCCCCACCCCCCGACGGGGCCCTGGCCCCGCATCACCACCGCATCCCCAAGGCTTTATCAAGGCAGACCGCGGACTTCACTCAAGCGAAGGAACGGTTCTACTAAAGCGACGAAACGACTTTACTAATTCGAAGAAACGGCTTTAGTAAAGCGAGGAAACGGCTTCAGCAAGCGCGCCGCTCGATACACTCCGAAAACACAACGTTTCACTGAAGCGACAGAAAGAGCTTCAGTAAAGCGGAGGAGCGGCTGGGGTAAAATTGCGCGCGGAACTTTCGCTCCCCCCATAAAATCTGGCCCCGGACTCCAGGAGCGCGGGCGGGGCGCAAGTTCGCCCGCGGGCCCGAGCCCCGTCGCCGCCGTCGCCGCGACGTTCGTCGTCGCCGCCGTCGCCGTTGCCGTCGTCGTCGCCACTGTCGGCGAAGGCGCCGCCGTCGTCGTCGCCGCCGCCGTCGTCGTCGCCGCAACGCCCACACATTCGCGCCATTAACAGCGGCGGGTCGCGCGCGACCGCGCGCGCCACTGCGCTCGCATCTCCGCTCGTCCGACGGGGGCCCAAGCGGAGATCACGATGATTCTTGTGCTCACAACCCGTTTGAAGAAAAATTGCCCCCCCCCCCAAAAAAAAAAAAAACGCCTCTCAAATCCTAAACGCTTGCCGGTACCTTGGCAGCGCACTTACTTTTGCACTTGCCCGATCCATTCGTTTCTAAAGTTCCCCGCGCACATCACATACTTCCACGCGATTGAAGCGAGGTTCCCAGGGCAAAATGAGGCCCTGGGAATCACGATGACAAGCGACTTGCGATAAACAAGGTGATAATGTGCGTCGACGTGGGCCCCCCATCGTCAGGGGCGCACTCACACTTCTCAACACAAGCAGAGAAGACGGATGATGCAAGCGCGGCGCGGTACGCAGCCGCTCTGGTTTCATGCTTCAATGATCGGGTAGATACCTGCTTCTTCCAAACCACTGCCAAGTTGAACAGGGAAAGCATGCATCGGCGCACATGTCAGACTCTGCATTCCAATATGAACTTGCCACTCTACGCCAGCTGCGGGCGAAAAGAATCGGGAAACGAAGAGCCGAATCGAAACTGCGATCTGGTTAAACGATTGCACCGAGAGCGTGAGACCCAGCTTCAGCGACTCGATGAAACGGCAACGCTCGCGGAACTTCAAAATGGGGCCAGCCCACGTTTCCTCCCGCCACCTGATACCGCACTAGGACCCAAGATAACGAACACAAGAAGCCACCCCGAAATGCGAGAAATTGACGCGGGGCTTCTCGAATTTCCGGGGCTCGGCTTCTCGACCGAAATCGCGACAGAGAAAGATCGCGATTTCCTTCTGATTCGGAAACAGACCAGCAGCGCACGCGGCAAGCAGGAACACGCGCATGAAGACGGGCACCATCGTGTAAATGTCAAAACTGGCTGAGCCTACATCGCCCGCGAATGCACAGCGCAAGTGAACAGGCCGCGGCAGCCTTATGCACGGGACTCGCAAGATGGGACCCATCCCAAAGGCGAACACTGAGCATGATAATGGGCACCCCTGCATTATCCCCCGCGATGTAGCAAACGAACACTGAGCTTGTCCCCCAAGGATTACGCGGTCCGAACTTTAGTGTAGAGGGTCTAAAGGGCCCGCACCACGAACGCGGGCAGCTGCATCCCGTGCAAAACGCGAAATATCCGGTCGTGGCACAGGCTAGGGAAAGCGGCCTAGGATTTCGCCAGCGGCGCCCCTCCACTGGATCCCAACTCCGACGACCATACGAATCTCAAACTCAATCAAGTATCAGTCAAGTTCCGGCCCTTGACGAAGCCCCTCTGAATCGCGGGGGCGGCGCCCATACAGGGCGTCTCCCGGAGGTTGTTAGTCGCAGCAGCGACGCCCTTATTTACGGCGTTCGACGCGGCAATCGGTCCGGCGGTCTCTGGGGCCCCCCAAAATCCAGGCCCATCACGACCCATCGAGCCCTTGGGAAGGAGCACGGAGATGCGAGCATTGAAATCTTCGGGGACTTGACCGAAATTCACAACGCGCTCGTACATCCGACGAGTGGCCCATCTGACAGGACGGCCCCCCGTGGACCAGGCAGAATAACATGAGTCATCAGGGCCCGCTGCGGAGCCCCGAAGATTGCCCAAGATTTGACAGAGCGTTTCCTCGGACATGTTCCAGTCACGCGCGCAGCGGGCTGACAGAGAACGGCGGCATGAGCGGCGCCCCGGCGGGCAGCGAGAGCGCGTGCTCCGCCGGCCGCAGAAAGCATTGCATTCCCATGTCCACATGCGATGCCGGCAAGGAAGACTCTCCGGTTCGGGGGGGACCAGGCGGAGACCATGCGTTGTAGACGCGCTGCGCACTGCTCAAGATATCGCGGGGGTGCCTCAATGTGACCAGTGATAGCGTCGCACTCGGATTGCTATCGCGGCACTGCAGTCTGCGACACGCACGCGCGAAACGAATGCCGATCATGCCGCTGACAAGGCCCAGGATCGAGAACATCCAGCAGCCGAGGGATGGCCCTGGCAGCCTTCTTTAAAGTTCGAGAGGCACGTGAGCGCATAGCACGATGACAGCAAAAAGCCACCAGGAGCTGCTCGGGGGAGTCCGACGGCAGCTCGGACAACCCCTGCTGGACGAGCCGGCCTGCCGCGCGCATCTAACAGGTGAGCTCCTGGATCATCATCGGCATAGTGACATCAGACATGCCGCTTGCCTCAGTGAACCCGTCGATCACAATAGAATACAGCGGATGCTTGGAGATCCACGAAAACCTCGGATACCTGGGGACCCCCCCCCCTCGGATGAAGCGGGCAAGTCCGGCTCGCTAAGTTCCAGGCCGCCTCCAGACGTCGGTTTCAAGTCCGAGAGATCATCTGCGAACGTATCGGCACACATCCCATAGAGCCTTGAAACGCCGATGATCTGTCCGCCCCTCGCGGCGCGGTGGGTCGGGGCCCCCTGAACACACCCCGTGATCCGACGCATGAAGGACCCAGAACCTGGAGGCCAGAGCATCGGCCGAGTTTGGATTGATGGCCCCGCCGACCCTTTGAGCCCCCTCCCCTGGCTCGCAAAACTAAAAATTCCCGACAGAGAATCAAGGAAATCGCCGCACTGGGCCAGCGCGACAATCTTCTCGCGCCGGCGGAAGGCAGGGTCGAGACGCAGGCCGAAGATGGCACACTGGAAAGAGTCAGACGTTAAAGCGATCGCGAGAAGGCGGCGGTTCGGCAGAAAGCTCAGCTAGCAGAGACCTCGCTATCATGATAGCTACCACACCAGCATTCACTTCAGAGCAAGAAGGACAGCATGCTTCGAACGACGGGAACTCGGTGCGCAGCGATTCGCCGCCACCTTCATGGCCGTGCCTCTCGCAGGCACATGCGATTGCTAGTTCTAGTTGGTTGAGGGAGACGGCCCCAGGTCCCCGTTGAACGTCGTGAACACTAGAAACGGCGCCGAAAAAACGCATGACAATTCCAATTCGGCATTTTCAAACCACGGCCGTAAGAAAGGGAAGCTGGGAAAGACAGCGAGTGCCAAACTCGGGCCCTGCGGTGACGGCGGCTGGTCTCCGAGCAAATTAGGCCAGAGGCTAGAAGAGTGAGAAAATGATGCGCCTGAAAAGACCGCGACAAAATCTGGTGGCAGAGAAACGGCAAAATACTGGAAATAATGGTTCTCGCCACGCGATGCTTGGGCGGCCTTTCAGATAGCGGCGGCCTCAGACGCGCTCTGCGCAGCCTCGATCGTCCAGTCCGAGACGGCGGGCGTGATCTTCCACTCGTCGAGATGCGACTGGATCGGCTTCACCTCGCGCTGGCCCTGCGGCGCGTCACAGAGCTTGAAAAGCTCCCACTGACCGTTCGTTGCGTGATGCTGAGTACACGCTGGAACGGTTTGGCGCAGGAGCTTGGTGTCTGGGCCCCACATCTTCTATTTCCCGAGGCGCCTGCGCACGTAAGGCCATAGCGCGCTGAGCTTCGGACGAGCTGCAAGCGGCACGTCACGCCGGCATCGCAGAGCATGGACAAATGTGTTGCGATAGTCGGACCAAGTGACAAAATTGGCGAGAAACCAGGCGTGAAACTCTCTGGCATGGTCGTCGCCGTCGAAGGTGACGGAGGAAGCCTGCGAAACTTTGTGAACGTGGCCAGTGATGACCGCGCCCAGGTGAGTCGGGATCCTCTCCTTCAGCTGGTCAAAGACGGTGCGACGACGGGGTTCGGTCACTGGGCGAGGAAAGCCACTGATCCAGCGGCGCTTCTCGTCGACGTCGTCGCGAGAGAGATCGGCGACGGGAACCTCGAACAAGCCAGCAGAGGAGCCAGTCGCGGTCCTCCTGGATGTGGCTGAAGGCGCACCTGTGGAACTGGCGACCGATGGCGCGCGGGAGAGCTCGCGGAGGGTCTTCTCCAGGCCGTTGATATGATCCTGCATCTGCTTCGCAAGCGATGACGGCTGGAGGCCCATGTTGGACTGCGTCTCGCCGTCTGGTACGAACAACTCAATTTCGAATTTCTCCTGCTCGAGCCTCGACAAGCGGAGGTCAAAAGCGTTGGCCATCTCCTTCTGGGCGGCGTTGGCCTCCGCGAAGCTGGCCTGCATGGACAGCTCGAGGTCGGTGGTCTTGACATCCAGTTCCTCGGCGGCGATGAGGTGCATCTTGACGTCCGCCACGTCGGCCTTCATACCCTTCATCTCGTTGGTCAGAGACTCGAGGACCGTCACTAGCTGCTCGCTGGATGGATGAGCGGCAGCTGTCATGAGCGGAAGAGCTGGGAGGAGCGGGTGGGAGCAGTAATGCCGCGTGCTTTGGCGCACGACTGGAATGCGAGGCGTAACCGCGGTCTGGACGCTTGGGCCACCCCTTGGCAGAGTCCAAATTCGAATCGCCAATGACACACGTTTTGAACTTGAGCCCAAATGAGTACGGAAGAGGAGGAGGACGAGGAGGAGGAGGAGGAGGAGGGGGAGGAGGAGGGGGGGGAGGAGGGGGGAGGAGGAGGAGGAGGAGGGGAGAAGGAGGAAGAGGAGGAGGAGGAGGGAGGAGGAGGAGGAGGAGGGGAGGAGGAGGGGAGGAGGGGGAGGGGAGGAGGAGGGGGAGGAGGAGGAGGAGGGGGGGGAAGAGGAGGAGGAGGAGGAGGGGGAGAGGGGGAGGAGGAGGGGGAGGGGGAGGAGGAGGGGGAGGAGGAGGAGGAGGAGGGGGGGGAAGAGGAGGAGGAGGAGGAGGGGGAGGAGAAGGAGGAGGAGGAGGGGGAGGAGGGAGAGGAGGAGGAGCGGCGCCCCCCCCCCTTCAGACGAGGCCGTGGCGCGCCACGCCGTGGGCGGGCGGGGCTGGGCCGGGTCTGGCGGGGCGCCTGGTGTAGTGTGGGGACGATCGAGGACGACGACGACGACGACGACGACGACGACGACGACGACGACGACGACGACGACGACGACGACGACGACCGACGACGACCGACGACGACGACCGACCACGACGACGACTACGACGACTACGACGACTACCACGACGACTACGACGACGACCGACCACGACGACCACGACGACCACGACGACCACGACGACCACGACGACGACGACGACGACGACGACGACGACGAAGACGACGACGAAGACGACGACGACGACGCGGAGGGGTAAGGTCTGGCGGGGTACCGGCGGAAGGGCGAGGGGGACGTGAAAGTCTCCTCAAAACCACTTACGCTTCAACCTCTGAGAGCCGTTCTCGGGCACAGGAGGCGTTAGGAAGGCATGCAAGATCATGATATGTCCCTGAGGATGGAGTCGAGAAATTGGGGGCCAACGGATTGAACAAAGACAATGCGTGTGTGGTCTGGGTCTAAGTATCCTATCCCTCCTCCTCCTCCTCCTCCTCCTCCTCCTCCTCCTCCTCCTCCTCCTACCCCTCGTCCTCCTCCTCCTCCTCCTCGTCCTCGTCCTCCTCCTCCTCCTCCTCCTGCACCTCCTCCTCCTCCTTCTCCTCCTGCACCTCCTCCTCATCATCATCACCATCATCCTCCTCTTATGCCAGTTTACCAGCCGAGAGCCCAGCTGGAGCAGCAGAACAATAATCTGCCAGTCGGCAAGGTCAACGCACTGTTACGGGCCAAGCGCAGCCCAAGCAGCTCTTGATCTCGCGGTGCGCCGCTTGCCGCAGCCGGCGCGCCGCCAACACGGATTGGACGGCTGCCCTCAGACAGCCTCGCCCGAGCCTCCCTACCAGTTTTGCCCCCGAACCGCTACGCGGACCGCACAGAGGGGGCGGGGGATCGGGGTGTGCGGCGCCGGCCTGGCCATGAGCTTCTCGAACCTGGCCGCGTGCGTGTCCCGGACCTGCGGGGGGGGCACGGCGGAGTCGAGGGGAGGGCGCGGGAGGCGAGGGACGGCGGCGGAGGAGCAGGGGGGGACGAAGGACAGAGGGGAGGAAGGGAGGAAGGGAGGAAGGGAGGAAGGAGGGAGTGGAGGAGGTGGAGGAGGAGGGGGAAAGAAGAGGCAAAGCAAGAGAGAGGAGGAAAAAGAAACGAAGAAATGAAGGAGAGGTGGGGAGGCAGGAGGGAGGATGAGGACCCCGCACACTGCGCATCTGAAAAGTCGTCACGGCGGCGGGCGCGCGGGCAGACGGCCGATCTCTCGGGGGCGCGTGCGGCGCACTCGAGGCATCGTTCGGCAAAGGGTCGTGGACGCCCACGTGGCCGGGGCAGCGCCGCAGGCTGGCCGTGGGAGAGGAGGGACGAGAGGGCTGCCATCGCCTGCGGTGGAGCGGACACAGGGGATACAACAAGAAGGGGCCACGTGCGAACCCCACCCAAGAACCCCACGACTTCTGAGGCGGGGGGGGGTCACTTCGCGCGGGAGCTCCCGAACGACGCGAAGCCCACCCTCCCCCTCAGAAATCGTGGGGGGTAGGGGTAGGGTTCGCATGTGGCCCCCATCGTATGAAACAAATAAGTATATATATATATATATATTATTTTATATATTATTTATATATATATAATATATATATATATATATATATATATATATATGCGCAGCTGGCCAGTCGTCAGGGTGCCGGGCGCGCGCGGCACGCCCGGGTGCGGCCGTATAAAGGAAGACGGCCGCTCGCGCGGGGCCCCGCGCGCCGCACGCGGGAGGCCTCGCTCGACGGGCGGCCCTGGACGTCCAGGTGGACGTAGCAACCCTACCCAGGCCCATGGCCGCTGCAGAGCGTGCGGAAGGACAGAAAAAAACACAACAACAAACTACAACAATCACAGCAACAGTAACAGCAACAGCAGCAGCAGCAGCAGCAACGACGACGACGACGACGACGACGACGACGACGACGTCGACGACGACGACGACGACGACGACGAACGACGACGACAACAACAACAACAACAACAACAACAACAACAACAACAACAACAACAACAACAACAACAACAACAACAACAACAACAACAACAACAACAACAACAACAACAACAACAACAACAACAACAACAACAAACAACAACAACAACAACAACAACAACAACAACAACAACAACAACAATCATTTTACCCGAACGCTCAGTGTTCTCCCCAGTGCCAGGGTTTTCTTGCGACACCAGCCAATACCCCCACTTCGTGGGGGGGCCGTTCAAGCTCTACCAAATATCCAAACGACTCTTCGAGACCACCCACACCCAGCTTCCCGCCCTATGACGTTGGGACACTTCACTTCGTGGCGTGCGGACGACCCTGGCTACTACACTGGCGTGGGGTACACACCCACAGAGGTTGATCACATCTGTTACATATGATGTGGTACACGGTACACGTGAGATGGTACGCAGTGCCAAGATAGTTGGTCACATTTTTGGGGCAAATTCGTGGGGATGCGATTACAGAAGTACATGTGTTACACTGATGTTATACAGTCCCAAGGATGACGCATGCATTGCTCATAGACTCATGGCGCTATGATCCTAACTCTCAGTGCCCAACGCGCGCGTGCACAGCCAGACGGAGGGAGAGAAACACATGTATACAAGGTTCGTGACATACGCACGGTCCACCATGTTGTAAACGATCGCATGCACGGTAAGTTCTGAAATTATACGTATGTACAAGCAGACATGCGAGGGAGAAAGGGAGATGGCCATCGACAGTTCCAATACGGCTCCAAGGCGGAAGAGGGGGAGGAGGAGCAGGACAAGGAGGAAAGGAGAACTGAAATCGCATCTTGAAACATCTGAAATATCGCATCTTGAACTTATTGAAAACCCATTGTGTTTGGCAGGATTTCGACATGCGCGCGCGGCGGCCGCGCGCATGTGCACTTCGTCTCATTTTTTGCAAGGGATGGTGGCCCTCGCAGGCGCGCAACCGTTGTTGGAGAAGTTCAAAGCACCTGAAGAAGTAGCACGCAAAGACCCTTTTGACAGAAATGTTTAAAAAGTGGTGTGTTTCCTATGAATCCGCAAGAGCGCGCGGAAGGACATTTTGACAATTTTTTCTTAAAAAACCATTGGGTTTTTGATGTTTTTATGTTAAAATCGTTACGAAACCTAAGGTTTTGGAAGGATTTCGTCTTGCGAGCGCGAATGTCCACTTTACCTTATTTTTTGCAAGGGATTCTTGAAATTTGATCAACTAAGAACAAGAATTTTCATTTTCTATTGTTTTTTGCAAGGGAAAACGAGCGTCAACAAAAAACCGGATCCGGGGGTAATCCACTTTTCTGAAGCTTTCGCAGAAAAATGATGAAAATGTAGCTGCGGCCTAGGTTTTGGGCGGGGGGCGTGCACCAGGGGGTCCAACAATAATAATTCTTTAGAAGTAATAGTGTTCAACAACAACAACAACAACAACAATCATTTTACCCGAACGCTCAGTGTTCTCCCCAGTGCCAGGGTTTTCATGCGACGCCAGCCAATACCCCCACTTCGTGGGGGGGCAATGCAAGCTCTACCAAACATCCACACGACTCTCGGGAACCACCCACACCCAGCTTCCCGCCCTATGACGTCAGGACACTTCACTTCGTGGCGCGCGGACGATCGTGGATACTACACTGGCGTGGAGTACACACCCGCAGAGGTTAATCACTTGTTTGGGCCCCGCATGTGCCCCGCATCGTGCATTTGTTGCGCATGATATGAGAGCAAGACAGAGAGAGAGAGAGAGCAAGACAGAGAGACAGAGAGAGAGAGAGAGAGAGAGAGCAAGACAGAGAGCCAGAGGAGAGCTACGGTGCGATTCGTGTGATTTTATGATGCGCGGTGCTAAAATTCTTAAAAACCCAATGGTTTTTGGAGATTTCGGCGTGCGCGCGCGAAGAAAAAACGAATGTGTCCCGCATGGTATTATTTGACAGGGATGATGGCCCTGGCAGGTGCGCAACCGTTGTCGCAGAAGTTCGAAAAAGTTGCTCGCAAAAGCCCGTTTGACAGAATTGTTTAAAAAGTGTTGGTTTTCCTACGAATCCGCAAGAGCGCGCGGAAGAACATTTTGACATTTTTTTCTTAAAAAACCATTGGGTTTTTGATGTTTTTATGTTAAAATCGCTACGAAACCTAAGGTTTTGGAAGGATTTCGTCTTGCGCGCACGAATGTCCACTTTACCTTATTTTTTGCAAGGGATTCTTGCAATTTGATCAAGTAAGAACAAGAATTTTCATTTTATAGTGTTTTTTGCAAGGGAAAACGCCACAACAAAACAACCGGATCCGGTACCAATCCACTTTTCTGAAGCTTTCGCGAAAAAATGATGAAAATGTAGCTGCGGCCTAGGCGCGGCGCAGAGGTCGCGCACCAGGGGTCCCAACAATAATTATTCTTTAGAAGTAATAATGTTCAACAACAACAACAACAACAACAACAACAACAACAACAACAACAACAACAACAACAACAACAACAACAACAACAACAACAACAACAACAACGACGACGACGACGACGACGACGACGACGACGACGACGACAACAACAACAACAACGACAACAACAACGACAGCGGAAAGGCGTGCACTCCGGCCCCGGTCAGGGCCGGAGCCTCCGGTGTCACTCCGCCGGCGGACGGGCGCACACTCCGGCCCCGTGGGCCTGTTGGCCTGAGACGCTGTGTGACGACGACTTCTCCGGCCCTGCGAGGGGCCATCTGCGGCGGTTTCGCGCCGCGGTGGGCAAACGTACACTCAGGCCCCGTATGCCCCGTCATCTGTGCTGTTCCCTCCAAAGAAAAGCTCCCCGTGCGCTACCCCCTTCTCCGGCCCCGTGTGCAGCGAAGACACCCTCAGGGATCCTCACGACGACGACGGCGGCGGCGGCGGCGGCGGCGGCGGCGGCGACGACGACGACGACGACGACGACGACGACGACGACGACGACGACGACGGGGATCCTGAGGAGTCCTCGGGAGCCCTGAGGAGGTCCTGAGGTGTCCTTATGAATCCTTGGGGGCCCTGGAGAATTCTAAGATACCCCAAGGAACCCTGAGCAAGCCCGCAAGATCCTGAGCAACCCTGGCGAGATCCTGAATAATGCTTAGGGAATCCAAAGGATTTCTGTGAGGTCCTGAAAAATCCTGGGTTCTCGGGAGAGGATTCCGGGGATCCTGAGGAATCCGTGTGTGTCCTGAGGATTCCTGGGCAATTCTGAAGAATGCTAAGGGGCCATGAGAAATCCTGAAGGGTTGAGGGGTGCCCTGAGGGGATCCTGAGAAATCCTCTGGGATCGTAAGGAGCCTTCAGACATCCTGGAACACCTTCGAGGAAGATCCTGAAGCATCAGTGTGGATCCTGAGGAGGAAGCCATCGGACTCTTGGGACAGGGGGGGTCCTGGTGAACCATGAGGAGTCCTTGGGGGTCCTGAGGAATCTTGACATGTCCTAGGGAGTCCTTGGGGGTCCTGAAGAATTCTAAGATATCCATATCCTGAGTAATCCTGAGCAGCCCCTCGGGATCCTGAGAAACCCTGGGGAGATCCTGAAGAACCCTTGGGGGTCCCACGGGTTCCTGTGGGATCCTGAGGAATCCTGGGGACTCGGGAGGAATCTTGAGGAATCTTGAAGGGTCCCGAGGAGTCCGAGCGAATCCTGAGGGGTCCTGATGAGAGTCCTGAGGAAGCCTAGGGGATCCTGAGGAATCCTTGTGGGTCCTGGGGAATCCTGGGGGATCCTGAAGAATGCGAAGGAGTCCTGAGGAATCCTGAGTGAGGGGCACCCAGAGTGGATCTTGAGGAATCCTTAGGGTTCCTTCGGGGTCTTCAGGCATCCTCAGGAACCTTGGGGGATCCTAGGGAATCATCGTGGATCCTGAGGAGGAGTCCATTGAACTCTTTTGAAGGGGGGGTCCTGGGACATCCTGAGGAGTCCCCCAGAATCCTGAGGACTCCTGAGGTGTCCTGGGGAATCCTGACGAATCCAAAGGAATCCTGATGAGCCCAAGAGAAACCTAGGGGATCCTGAGGAACCCTAATTTGTCCTGAAGAGCCCAGCGGAATCCTACGAAACCCGAAGGAGATCCTGAAGAATCCTCTGGGATCCCAAGAGTTTCTGTGGGATCCTGAGAAACCCTGGGGCCTCGGGGGGAATCCTGAGAGATCCTGAAGAATCCGGACGAATCTTGAGGAGTCCTGATGAATCCAGAGGAAGCCTTGGGGATCCTGATGAATCCTGTGGAATCCTGAAGAATGCTGAGAAACCCTGAGGAATCCTGAGGGGCACCCAGAGGGGATCCTGGGGAATCCTTGGGAAACCTAAGGAGGCCTTCAGCATCCTGAGGAACCTTGAGGGATCCTGAAGAATCGCAATGGGTCTTGAAAAAGAATCCATCGGATTTCTGTGGATGGGGAGGGTCCTGGGAAGTTCCGGGGAACCCTGGGGAGTCCTGAGGAGTCCTGAGGTGTCCTGAGGAACCCTTGGAGATCCTGAAGAATTCGAAGATATCCTGAAGAATCCTGAGGAGCCTTGTGGAATCCTGAGAACCCCATAGGGCGATCCAGAAGAATCTTTGGGGATCCCCAGGATTCCTGGGGGATCCTGAGGAATCCTTGGAACTCGGGAGGAATCCTGAAGGTGTCCCGAGGAATCCTGACGAATCCGAAGGAATCCTGGTGAGTCCAGAAGAAGCCTGGGGGATCCTGAGGAATCCTTGTGGGTCCTGAGGAATCCTTGGGGATCTTGAAGAATGCTAAGGAATCCTGAAGAACCCTGAGAGGTACCTTCAGGGAATCTTGAGGTACAATGGGGAATCCTAACGAGTCCGTAGGCGTCCTGAGGAGACATGGTGGATCCTGAGGAATCCTGAGGTGTCCTGAAGAATCCTCGGGGATCCTGGAGAATTCGAGCCTGAAGAATGCTGGAGGATCCTGAGGAATCCTCGGGGGTCCCGCGGAATGGCTCCTGAGGAATCCCGAGGAATCCTGGGGGGTCCAAAGGAATCCTTGGAGATCCTAGAAAGTTCGGAGTGGTCCTCAGGAATCCAACGGAATCCTGGGGGATTCGCAGAAATCCTGGGGAAACCTCTGGAAACGCGCCAAGAATGCCGGCCTCTTCTCTGGCCCCGTGGGGCACCTTGCGCTGCCGCCCCAGTGTCAACCCCTTCTCCGGCCCCGTGGTGCAAGCCCTCGGTTGCTGGAGCTCTGCTTACCCTTAAGGATAAGCACTTGAGTCTTGAGAGAAGAAGAAGATCTCAACAACCAGCCGGGTCCCGTGTCAACGCCGTACCGAACAACAACAGCAAGAACAACAACAAGAACAACAACAACAACAACAACAACAACAACAACAACAACAACAAGAACAGCAACAACAACAACAACAACAACAACAACAACAACAACAACAACAACAACAACAACAACAACAACAACAACAACAACAACAACAACAACAACAACAACAACAACAACAACAACAACAACAACAACAACAACAACAAACGACAACGACAACGACAACGACAACGACAACGACAACGACAACGACAACGACAACGACAACAACAACAACAACAACAACAACAACAACAACAACAACAACAACAACAACAACAACAACAACAACAACAACAACAACAACAACAATGACAACAACAACGACAACGACGACGACGACGACAACAGCAGCAACAACAACGACAACAACGACAACAACGATAACACTAACAGCACCAACAACAACTACAACAACACGACAACAACACAACAACAGCAACAACGACAACAACGCCAACAACACCAACAACAACCACAACAGCAGCGCAGCAGCGGCAGCAGCAATAACAACATAATCAACGACAACCACAACAACAGCAGCAGCAGTACCAACAGCAACAAGAGCAACAGCACCAACAAACAAAAAAATGTGAATGGACCCAACAGCAGGTCCTGCATCGGAAAGGCTGTCACAGGGCCGTCGTCAACAGAGGCGGCGTGCCGTATCCTCTCCCCGGAGGTACCGCGGAGAGCGGCCGGCACGGCCGAGGGCCGCCGCCGCGCGCAGGCAACGCTGTGCCAACGGCGCCCGACGCCACCGCCCACGCCAGGAGAACGTCGGAACGTCCTCGGCAGCGATGTTCGGAGATGGACAGACCTCCCTTTAGTAAAACGTGGTTTAGTGAAAACGGCTTCGGGCCCGAACCTGGCGGGCGCAAGCCTGGAAAATAACGGCCACGGCGCCCTCTCGAAAACCGAAAACGGACAATTCACTAATCGACATGTCACTGTTGGGGGTTCTGTCCACCCCCGAGATGTAGAACAGAAGTCAGTGGTGACTGAGCCGCGAAGGCACGCTGGGGCAAGGACAACCCCCCCAGGGGCTTCGACGAGCGGCACGCCCGTCCCTGCAAGAAGAGGATCCCACCGAGTAGGGAGGCCACCCTGACCGAAGGTCGGCCAGTGGCTCGTTGGCAACCGTGTGGCGAAAGACCAACTCCATGATCTCCACCGTGGCCCGATCAGAGCACGCGGCGTGCTGCGCAGGATACGTCCTACGCGTCTCCCGAGCCGGGATGGACAGAAAGGCGCCGCAATCACTTATCGATCGGTCGCATGGCAGCAACAGGTCACAGCGGCGCACTGTGAACAAGTCCCCAGGGCGGAGGAACATCATGAAGCCTTTCGGAAGGAGACCAGCCATAAAAGACCAAACCCAGGCTGGGCAGAGGGCAACCATCGCGCGCGATAGTGCGCGGGGGAGTGGCGCTCGGAGCCTTCGGCGACTCCGCAGACTTCAAGTGTCTGGCAACATCCCACGCTTCACTCAGAAAGGGCTTCTAGTGAGGATGATCGGACCGACTGCTGAGGATGGAATGCACCAAAACATAATTGGGGAGCCCCGCATCCTGAAGCGAAACACCGAAGGTAGCCAGAAAGCAGGCGAGCAAGGGCCAGACAAAGCGCAACTGCACCGGGGGGGAAACTGCACCCGGGGGCGAATTGGGGGAGGGTGGGGAGGAAAAGCAGAGGAGGAGGGCTGGAAGGAGGGACGGATAAAGGAGCGAAGAAGGGCAGAGGAGGAGGGGGGGAGGGGAAGCAGGGGAGGAAGGGGAGAAGGGGGCATGGGAAAGCGAAAGGGAAGAGAAGAGGCAGTGGGAAAGCGGAGGGGAGGGTGTCACCGGAGGGAGCAGAGAGGAGGGAGGAGAGGAAAAGGAGAGGGCACGGGAAGGGGAAAGACATCCATCCTCTTCGCGTTCCTTCCAAAACTCGGCCCTCTTGTGATCTCAGGGCCAATTTTCCTGGGGAGGTGTTCTGGGTGCCGGAGCGGGCCCCCAGGAGGCCCTGGACTTGGAAGAACGAGCCGCCGTGCCTCCGACGAGGCGCCCAGAGGTCCAGGTCGGAATCTGGCCTTGTGGCATCACCATCGGCCCCCAGACCTCTCCTGAGCACAGATCCCGTCCCCGCCTCTCGCGCCTGCGACCAGCCGTGGCCACGAGGACCCCCGAGGCGGCCCCAACGGAAAGGCAAAGATCCGCCCGGCAGGAAAGGCGAGAGCCCGAGCCGTTCTCTGACGCTCGCGGGGGCCCCGAGGTGGCCCGGGAAGCCCGGCGACAGCGAGCAGCCTCCTCGGCCCCTTCCCCCAAGACCTCTGTCCTTCCCAGGGAGAGGGGGAGCGAAGTGGGAGGTGTGGCTCAGGGGGGGGGGGGGGGAACATCGACTTGGGCTCGGCGATGCACCGCGGCCGCATCGGCGATGGGCCCTCGGTCGCGAAAGACCGCACGCCCCTGGGCAGGAGAGGGGCCAAGGCCCCGACGGGTGATGAGTGGGCGCACGAATAAGGAGCAAAAAGTGGCATAAACATCAAAACTCGGAGGTCCGCGCGGATTTCCCGGATCGGCGCTGGACCCCCCTCCCTGGCGAGGAGCGCGCCAGGGGCGGCGCCGGAAGCGCCGCCGGGGGGCCCCAGCGCCGATCCGAGAAATCCGCGCGGACCTCAGAGTTTTTATGTTTATGTCACTTTTTGTTCCCCTAACGAAGGTCGATGCTTCCCCCCCGGGCTGGTGCCCCCTTGACTTAAGTCGGGCCTGTCCCCCTACAGGCCGATTTTGGACGACAAATTAAAAATACCCCATAATTATCACAAAAGTGCTCAAGAATCGTCAAAATAAATAGTCCCCAGACTATTTTTGGACAATTTTTGAATATTCCCCCTGTAGAGAGACACGCCCGACTCAACCCTTGACGTTGCCCCCTCGCTTTCTAGCTCTCCAGCGGCCGTTCGGGACGACCCTGGTACCCCTGAAGCGCTCTCAGCGACAGCGCCGCTGCAAGAGAGCACCCGGAAGCTGGGAAGCCGCCGACCACCCACGGGAACGGCCGAAAACCTCGAACCTTGGACAGAGAACCCCAGTTGCCACCCCTGCCCTTCGTGTGGGCTCGAGCCGTCCGGCACCGTGCCAGAAACCTCTGCGCTGGCGCCGCGGGCGCTGCCAGGTTGCCGCGCGCAGGGGAGCGCGGCCACACGGCGGCGCCTCCGGGAAGAGCTCGGCCTGCGACCTGTACTTGATCTGCGTGCGGCTGAAAGACCGCTGCGGGGACCTGGCGCGTCAGAGGCGGTTCGCGAGCTCGGGGATCCAAGTTGGAGGATTTCAGTTTCGCCGTTTTTCCGTGCCACCATGCGTTTCCACAAAGCGTCTCGTCGCAACGGCTGGATTCGCCTCGAGATCCTGCTCAGAACGCACCCTGGGACGCCTGACCCCCGAAACCAAGTTATGGCCTCTGGGGGCGCACCACTGGGCCGCTGAGACGCCCAAAACTACTCAGGATGAAGTGTCGGTCCTGGAAAAAGAAAACAGGATTTCCAGAGACCCCATATTGAATTAAACTAAGCAGTGAGCGGCCAACGTTCATGGCAGGATGGCGAGGGGTCGACGTCGTGACTTCCTCTTCGTCGGAGGAGGGTGGCGCAAGGCTAGTGGAAGAGAGCGGATGACAAAATGGGGGCGGTTGTGGCAACGGAAACCAACGGAAGCAGGGGTTGCCCCCGAAGAGATGTCAACGTTTGTGGATTCAGGGGTTCCAGATCCTGGCCAGACAGGCCCTGGGTTCGGGGACGGCGTTTTCGCACGCCCTGGTCCGCTGGGAAGGTACAGCACACTGAGTCCAGGCCAAGCATGGGCCCGGCCAGTACCGGTCCGCGTACTTGGCGTTCCCCGACCCCTTGCGCGTCGGCTTCGATTGCTACCAGCTCGTCGGGAGCAGAAAGACGGCATCCACCACCACCTGGTCTCCACGCAGCGCGAAACGCGAAGTCAGGGGGCGCATGCAGCGCCGCTCTCCACAGAGCTCCGCAGCTCAGTTCGCCCCCGCCCGCGCCGCCCTTGCTTCGGCTGCGCGGCGCGTGGGCTCCTGGTGGCCGCTGCAGCCAGTGCCACGGCTACTTTTTCTGGCGCCGTCTCCCAGGTATGGGAAAGACGGCTCTTGGCGCATGCACGTAGGCCGGCGGGTGATGGATACCTTCCCTCTTCTAGAGAAACAAATTACCAGAACAAGGAAAGAGTCTGTTCGTGGACCCAGGGCAGCATTTGTCGATTCATCAAGGATTCGGGCAGTATCTTGATCCTGTTGATAAGCTCTCGGAATGGATGCTCTTGCACATGATCTTCTAGAAGTGGGCCCAGATTACACCTCGGGGGGGATGTACTTGATACCATGGCTAGTCTGTCCGTTAAGCGGATGTGCCATATTAGGTAAGTGTGCAGGCCGGCTGGCCAACGGAGGGGAGGCTGGGCGAGCGCGGGCATTTTACCTGTCAGCAGAAAGAGATGCGAGATGCGTAAATATCAAAGTCAATGTGGCACCGCCAACCCTCACTTGGAGGGTAAAGGCGGTGAAGGAAAAAGTATCGAGGGGAGCGTTAGTAATCGCTCTGGGGCTCCCCCCAGAACCAGCTGATCATCCGGAGTAGTTTCGGGAGCGGCCAAGAGGGGGGTGTCCAAGAGGGGGGGGGTGCAAATCATGACCGGCGGCATGTGCGCGGCCCAGCGTGGGGACCAGGGACGTAATGGAATAAGACGAGGTGCCATGAAATCTGAGGAAACATCACGGCCCCCGCCATGATATCCCCCCCCTAGTCATTACCACCCTCTTTGCCGCCCCCGATAGTTTTAAGGCGGCCCTGGTGCCCGGGAAAGGCCTCCGGCGAAAAGCTTCAGCACCTCCACCGTAAGACCCTACACCGTGAGACCCTCTCTGGAGCTAGAGAAAATGAACACTCCAAAAGGCCATCCCTGGAAGGAAGCCCTGAGGCTATCGTGGGAACGCATCGGGGGCCCTCACTGGCCATCTTGGGCTCTTCCAGCCCTCCTCGCGTCTTGGGGCACTCTTGGTGCCTCTGCAGCCGTCTCGCAGGGCTTGTTGGAATCCAAGTCAAGAAGGAAGCGCATGGGATACCTCGGAGGGGTCTACCGTAAATTCGCGGTCCAGTGTTTGGCCCTCAATTTGTTTGAGGGTGTCAGGACAGAGTATGGACGAATAGGAATACATACGCATGAGTCACCACTCACAAAAACGTATACGGGCACCCATACGTGCATGGGTATGTCTGGGAACGCGCAGATAGCTCACAAGTTTTGCTTGCTTGACGGGATTCTCCGAGGGGGGGTCTGGGCGCCGCTCTTGGGGCCTCTTGGACCTCTGGGGGTCTCTCCGAGGCCGCGAAGGCAATCATTGAGAGCCTCCTGGAACCTCCTGGAACCTCCTTGGGCCGTCTGGGCGCCCTTTGGGACCCTCCTGGACGCCTCCTAGACGCCTCTAAGGGCTCCGCAGGTCCGTGGAGCCCGCTGGAGCCCCTGCAAAACCAGGATCCTCCAGCTATCGGCGAGCTCTGCACCCCGGCCAGCTCTGTGGCTAACCCAAACCAGCCCTCCGGCCAACCCCGGGCAATTGAAGACAACCCTCCTGGCCAACCCCGGTTACAGTTTCCACAAGACAGTCCGCTTCGTTGTCGTTGCCATCCTGGCGCGGATGGCGAGGAGGGTGAGCGCTGCCCACCGCGGGACGTCCCACGCAAGGACGAAGCGAGCCGCCGCCGCGAGGGACACAGCCAACCGGGCGTGGTTGCCAACCACGCCACATCATGGCCAAGCAATGCCAAGCACTTGTAACCCCCACCCCTGCGTTGTCCTGATTTTTTCGGTACGCGGCCCCTGAACGTCCCGACCCTTCCCCTGGGTCCGGTTTATCATCCCGAGCAGTGGCTTGAGGGTCCCAGGACCAGAGGCTGAAAGTTGAGAAAGACCTCCGTCCTGATGTGCCAGGGCGCTGCATGTCTGGGTGAGGAAGAAGGGAAGAATCAACGTTGCTTGTGAATAGCCAACCTTGATTCTTCCCTTGCCAACGTTGATTCTTCCTCGATTGCTTCAAATCGCAACATTACCAACATTGCTTGTGAATAGCCAGCATCGCCGCGAGCCAGCATCGCCAGGAGCTCCCGTGAGGTTTGCGGGAGCTCCTGGCGATATTGGCTCTTAGGGGATGCGGGGCGGGGGGTCCAAGGGGTCGGGAAGAAGCGGCGGCACGGGTCCCCGGGCGCCCTGACCTCGGGGCGAGCAATCAACAAAAGAGGACGCGCGAGAAACTTCCTTCAGGGAAAACCTATTCCTCCAGCTCCTCCTCATCATCATCACATCATCAGCATCAGCATCAGCACCATCAGCAGCATCATCATCAGCATCAGCATCATCAGCAGCATCCTCATCATTGTCAGCATCAACATCAGCATCATCAGCATCATCATCATCAACATCAGCACCAGCATCGTCATCATTATCACCACAATCAATCATAATCCTCCTCGCCGTCGTCTTCGCCGTCGTTGTCGTAAGCATCAGAATCAGCATCATCACCATCATCGTCATCACCATCACCATCACCATCACCACCATCATCAACATCATCATCATCATCATCATCACCATCATCATCATCATCATCATCATCATCATCATCATCATCATCATCATTGTCATTATCATCATCATCATCATCATCATCAGCATCATCATCATCATCATCATCGTCGTCGTCGTCGTCATCACTATCATCATCACCATCACCACCATCATCATCATCAACATCATCATTGTCATCATAATCATCAGCAGCAGCATCATAAATATGTGCACCATCAATCACCACCAACATCATCATCATCACCATCGCCATCACCATTATCAGTTTGCCATGATCGTCCTCCTCCGCGTCATCACTCAACAGCTAAGGCGGCGGCATCAGGCGGTCTGCCTTCCAAGGATCGTCCAGGACCTAGCAGGCAGCCGCCAGGCGATGGCTACGTGCGGGATCGAGGAGCGCGCAACGACGCAGAAGGAGAATTGCGTGCCTCCTCCTCTTCCTCCTCTTCCCCCTCCTCCTCTTCCTCCTCATCCTCACCGACATCCTCCTCGCAGTCCTCGTCCTCCTCCTCCTGCTCCCCCCCTCCTCCGCCCCACCCCTTGTGTTTCACCCATGGGAACCCAACACTGAACCCAACGTCCGTACTAATAGTCCTCCTCATCCTCCACCTCCTCCGCTTCCTGCACCTTCCCCCACCCCAAGGCCGTCCACGGCGGCGGCAAAGCTGAGGACCAACCGAAACGAAAACAGAATCCGAATCCGACAGGCCGCCAGCACACAGTTGCGGGCCCTCCTCCCACCCCCGTGTCTAACCAGCAGTCTGCCTCGGGTGCTTAAGGCAGCAGGAGGTCTTGAAGCGGTTCTCGTGCCCCCGCGTGCCTGGGAATGCGAGGCTCAAGGAAGAGGTGGTGATGGGGTCGAATGAAGTCCCGACCCACTCCCTGGGGCCAGCTGTCCATCCAGAGTCGTTTCTGTGGACGGCCCCACGGACCTCCCGCCGCCTGTCCAGGGAATGGAGTTCCTTCCCGGATCGTTGCTTGGCGGCCCTGGGGGCCCAAAGGCGACCCCTGGAGGCCGAAAATGACAAATGGATTAATGCTGGTGGGTTCGGAGACAATAAAATAAAGGAACAAGTCCCCAAGGGCCCCATGGCAAGCCCAACTTCGCACCGCTACCCGTCCTCCACCAGACGACAAAAGGGAGATCGTCCTCGAGGCCTCCTGGAGGCAGCAAAGATGCCTTGACCCCCCAGAGTCAGTCAGCAACGGAACGAGGCCCAAAAACAATCAAGAATCGCATGCCTGGCTCAAAAATATAGTTGAACCCTCTCTCTCCTCACCCGCCCTCCTCTGCGGCCCAAGAACTCATAGGATGGCATGTCACGCAAGCATACACTACCACAAATCGAAACACAAAAAGAAGGCGCAAGGATCCTTTTGAGTCTATGCTTTCCAGAAGGCACCGCTTGAGCCTCCTGCCTGCAAAAGAAGATCACCCTCCCCTCCCCTCCACTTCTCCTCATCCTCATCATCCTCCTGTCCGGGCACCCCTCCCTCCTCCTCCTCCTCCGCCTCCTCCTTCTCCTCCTCTTCCTATTCCTCCTCCTCCTCCTCCTCCTCCTCCTCCTGCTCTGTGATATCCTCATCTAAGTCTCTATCTTTCTCTCTCTCTCGATCTCTCTCGATATATTTCTCTTTACGTCTATACATGTCTCTCTTTATCGTGTAGTGTTCTCATTATGTTTGCAGAAAATGGTGTTAATGTGTGCTCATATCGTCCAGTACTCGTGTATATATATATATATGCATATATAGAGAGGTGTGTGTATGGATATGCATGTGCATGTATGTGTATACGTATAACATTGCAAACACAACTACGTAAATATGTGTAGGTGTGTATATATAAATGCATGTATGTATGTATGTATGTATGTATGCATGCATGCATGCATGTATGTATGTATGTATGTAGGTAGGTAGGTAGGTAGGTAGGTAGGTGCGTGTGCTGATGTGTGTATGTATGTAGGTAGGTGTGCATGTGTATGTATGTGCATGTATGCGTGTATGTATGTGTGTATGTGTGTACGCACGGATGTAAGTATGTATATATGTGTGGACGTATGTATGTATAGATGTGTGCATGTGGATGCAATTACGTGTGTATGTATGTGTGTATGGCAGTATGTGTGCATGTATGTATGTGTAAATGTGTACGTATGGATCGGTGTGTGTATGTGTGAATGTATGTATGCATGTATGAATGTATGTGTGAGTGTATGGTTGTATGTGTGTACGTATGCATGTGTGTATGTGTGTATGTATGTGTATGTATGTATGTATGCATGCATGCCAGTATCTATGTATGTGAATGTATGTGTGTAAGTATGTATGCGTGTGCGTATTTATGTATGTGTGTATGGTCGTATGTGTGTATGCGTGTATGGATGCATCTGTATGGGTGTATGTATGTACGTATATGCAAGTATGGATGTATGAATGTATGTATGCATGGACGTATGCATATATGTACGTATGTATGTGTGTAAGTAGATATGTGTGCATGTATGTATGTATGTATGTATGTGCGGTTGGATGGATGTATGGATGGATGGATATATACATATATATATATGTATGTATGTATGTATACATGTATGGATATATATATATATATATATATATATATATATCATGTGTGTCCCTGCTCCCCTCCTTACCTCTCCTTCTCCTCCCTGGCCATCCTCCTCGCCGGGGCGTTCCGCCGCCGCGCCGCGCCTCAGCAGCCACGCGCGGCGGCTGCGAGAAACTTGCGCCGAAGCTGTTGGCGTGGTTGACGAAGCCCCGCCTCGGGGCCGAGGCGGGAGGAAGAGGAGGAGAAGCGTGGAGAGTGGCGGCAGAGGAGGAGGAGGATAGGGACGAGGAGGAGAAGGAGGACGAGGAGGAGGAGGAGGAGGGAGAAGAGGGGAAAGAGGAGGGAGGAACGGAGGGGCGGAGGGGAGGGAGGGAGGGAGGGAGGAAGGAGGAGGAGGAAGAGGAGGAGGAAGAGGAGGAGGACGAGGAGGGGGACGAGAAAGAGGAGGAGGAGGAGGAGGAGAAGGAGGGCGAGGAGGACGGGGGAGAAGGGAGTGAGGAAGGAGGGTGGAGGGAGTGAGGGGTGAGCGAGGAGGGAGGAGGGAGGATATGGCAAGATCAGAGAGCGGCCAAAAAGCCCGTCCGTGGGCCTGTCCAACCCTCGCCTGCCACGGGGCCCGAGGCGCTGTCCGGGAGGAGTGGGGTGAGAAGCAGGAGCGGCCTCCGAGCGCACGAGCGCCGACCGCGCCGGAAGAGCATGCAGTGGAGCGCGCCGCAAGCGAACGCCATGGCAGGGAGGAGAGAGGACGGGGCGGGCGGCCCCCCCACCCGCTGCGGGGACCACCCAGTATCGCAGACCCCTCCGCTGCACCCCCCTCCCTGCGCCGACGCCAGCCTCCGCCGCGGGGCCCCACGAGCTCGCGGGGCTCGTCGCGCGGCAGGCGGTCGAAGAGGAGGGCGTCGCGCTCGCGGGCGCCAGGCCGCTGGGGGCACTGCGCGAGCAGGTCCTCGCGCACCTCGGCCTCCTCTGCGCCAGCCGCAGCCGCCGCACGGGCAGCAGCCGCCGCGGGCTCCGCAGGAGGTGGCCGCCTCGCCTCGGCCGCAGGCTGGGCCCGAGGCGCCGCCGCGGCGGGCGTGTCAGGCCACTCGTCGCCCAGGGACTCCATGTCGGCATCGGCGTCGCGGCCAGCAGCAGCAAGCGCGACCAGCGGCAGACCCACGGCAGCAGCCGCAGGCGCACCTCCGCCGTCCGCGAACCAGCTCGAATGCGCCGCCGCGCCACGAGGCGCTGGCGGCGTCGCCACCAGCGGGCAGCACAGCAGCAGCAGCAGCAGCAGCAGCAAGCTCGTCGTCTGCGGCGCCGGCAGCTGGCTCCTGCCGCTCCCTGAACGGAAGAGCGCGGCAGAGAGGGCGGAACGTGCCACAGCAGCACCAGTCCGCCTTGGCGTCTGGGCGGAAGGAGGAAGAGAGGAAGGCAGGACGAGAGGGAGGATGAGGAGGAAGAGGAGAAGGAGGAGGAGGAGGAGCAGGAGGAGCAGGAGGTAGCAGGACGGGCCCCATGGCATCATCATCATCATCATCATCATCATCATCATCATCAGCAGCAGCAGCAGCAGCATCATCATCAGCATCCTCAAAATCATCATCATCATCATCATCATCATCATCATCATCATCATCATCATCATCATCATCATCATCATCATCATCATCATCATCATCATCATCATCATCATCATCATCATCATCATCATCATCATCATCATCATCATCATCATCATCATCATCATCATCATCATCATCATCATCATCATCATCATCATCATCATCATCATCATCATCATCATCATCATCATCATCATCATCATCATCATCATCATCATCATCATCATCATCATCATCATCATCATCATCATCATCATCGGGACCATCATCATCAGCATCATCATCATCATCATCATTATCAGCATCAGCATCATCATCATCATCATCATCATCATCATCTGCATCATCATCATTACCACCATCATCATCAGCAGCAGCAGAATCATCAGCATCATCAGCATCCTCATCATCATCCTAATCCTCATCCGAATCATCATCCTCATCATCAGCATCAGCATCAGCATTATGATAAGCAGCATCAGTATCATAATCATCTTCAGCAGCAGCATCATCATCAGCATCATCATCATCGTAATCATCATCAGCATCAGCAGCATCATCATCAGCATCAGCATCATCATCATCCTCGTATTCCTCCGCTGTTGAAACGCCAATCGCGTCCTCTTGTTATTGTTCTCCGTCATCCCGTTCCCTGATAAATAACTCCTCCGTCACTCCCCAGACGTGTCGGTAGGGGGAGAAGGGCACTTCGCCTGAGACTGCCTCACCAGCTATGGCCCTCTAGAAAGATGGAGGGCGAGCCGTGTTCACAAATGTGGCTCTCGCATTGGTGCCGCGCACATTCGTTGTAAAGGCTTAAAGCACCTTCACTAACGAAGGGCGGGCCGTATTCAAAATGTGGCTGTCGCCTCGGTGCCGCGTACATGTGTTTTAGAAGTTCGCAGCAGATTCACGGATGGAGGGCGGGTGGTTTCCAAAAATGTAGCTCTCGCTTCAGCGCCACGCACATTCGTCTTAAAGCGTTGCAGTAGCTTCAGGGCCGGAGGGCAGTGCCTTTCCAAAATGTGGTTCTCGCTTTGGCGCCGAGCACATTCGTCTTGAAAGTCTAAGAGACGGCGATATGGCACGATTTGCGTCAGGACGCAACAGTCACGTTGACTCGCGGCGTTGAAGTCCGCCGCATAATGCTCTGCCACGATGTAGGATTGTCAGGACGGAACAGTCACGTTGATTTGTGGTGTTGAAGTCCCACGAATAATGCTCTGTCACGATTGAGAATTGTCAGGACGCACCAGTAATGCTGATTCGCGGCGCGAAGTCCCAGGAGAGGTGTTTTGGCACGGCTGAAGATTCTCAGACGGCTGTCGTCCCATGGAACATTTACTGCAATGAAAATACATTTTTGTGAGGCACCTACGAAGAGGGAACTTGGAGGGAAGGCTTATTGCATCATCGTTGATGCGTCTCGGGTTCACACTGGTCGTCATCCTCCTCTTCTTCCTCAAGATCGGCCCCCGCGACCTCTCCTGGAGCGCATGCTGACCAGGACCTCGAGGCGGATCCAGCCGTGGCGACGAGGGCCACCTAGGGGGCCCAACAAGAGCAAAAGGCGTCGAGGTCCGCATCCTTCCCCCTCGACCCTCCCCGATCATCCCAAAACATCAAACGTCGTGTTGTTCAATGCGCGGCCCTTGGACATCTCGACCCATGTCCGGAACCCGCTTTCATCCCGGGCCATTCCTTCGACAACCACGGAGCCCCAAGACGGCCCTCGGAGGACGAAAGGATCCACCTAGATCTGTTCATGACTTTCGGCCCTCCGACGACAGTCTAACGAGGGCCAAGCAGCAGCAGCGGCCAGGCCTGAGATCCCCGGCAATCAGCTCCCTCACCTCCTGGGGGCGGAGGCCCGGGCGGCTGCGAGGACGCCAGCGTCGACGACGACACCCAACGATGAGAGAAGACCCCCGACGACGACGACGACGACGACGACGACGACGACGACGAAGACGACGGCGGCGGCGGCGACAACGATCAATGACGACGACGACGCCGACAATCCCTGGCGACGGCGATCCCCGACGACGACGACGACGACGACGACGACGACGACGACGACGACGGCAAGGACGAGAACGAGGACGACGACGACGACGACGACGACGACGACGACGACGACGACGACGACGACGACGACGACGACGACGACGACGACGACGACGACTACGACTACGACTACGACGACGACGACGACGACGACGACGACGACGACGACTACGACGACGACTACGACTACGACTACGACTATGACTACGACTATGACTACGACTACGACTACGACTACGACTACGACTATGACTACGACTACGACTACGACTACGACTACGACTACGACCGAGACGACGATCCGCGACGACGAAGAAAGGCCGCCTGTTCTGCTGGGAATCCCCCCTCTGCCCGCGTCCTTGCGGGCTCGGGCGGCGGGCCGGGCGCGCGCGCGCGGATATGGCAGGCAGGGAAAAGAGAGGTGCCGAGGAGGCAGGGGCAGTGTCGGGCACCCGTGGGGCCGAAGCGGGAGATGGACCTCCCTCCTCCTGCTCCCTCCTCCTCCTCCTCCTCCTCCTCCTCCTCCTCCTCCTCCTCCTCCTCCTCCTCCTCCTCCTCCTCCTCCTCCCTCCTCCTCCTCCCTGCTCCCCCTCCTCCCCCTCCTCCTCCGCCTCCTCCTCCTCCTCCGCCGACGACCTCCCAGTCCGCCTCGGGCGAGAGATGGAGAGGCGGCGGGAGCATCGGCGGCGGGGACGCGAGACGGAGAGGGACTTCTCCCGGAGGGCGGCGGGGCCTCTCGGAGGCCCTCCGGCCTGGCGGGGGGTCCTCGGCGTCTGCGGGGAGGCTCTCGGAGAGCTTCGCGGACCGCTGGGGGGCTCCCGCGCCCTCTGGGAGGGGCCCGCCCCTGCTCGCTTCCCCCCCCCTCGCTCGCCTGCGAGGGAAGGAAGGCAGAGAGAGAGAGAGAAGCAGAGACGGTGGCCGAAGCACAGGGAGCGTCGGCTGTGTGCAACGAGATGCCGATGGAGCGCAGGGGAGTGCAGGGTCGGGCGGGTCTGGAGGCGCAGCGGCTCGGGCGGGAACGCGGAGCGCGCAGGCAGAGACGCAGCAAGGTCTCCTCCTTCGACGGCTTCGGACGGAAAGTTGTCGACCTCCAACCACCAACGAATGCGAATCACTGCAAATATGCTCGTGAACACACCTGCGCCCATCTCAACCAAACAAAACCATGATCGATTGGCCACAGGTGTCATGACGAAGCGGCATGATCCTCCAACTTACCATAAAACGACAATGAACCCATTCGCTAGCCAAGGGGACAAGCGGCACCCAACGAAATGATGTATGCGTGAACGCTCCTCCTCCAGGACCGCGTCTACTCCCCAGCCCACGTTCCCCATTATCCCTGCCTCTCCCCCTCCCTTCACACCACCTCCCAATCCTCTCCCCTCCCTCCGACCTTGCAGTAACTGCCTTCCCCTCCCTCATCCCTACTTGTCCCCTCTCCATCCTCCACCTCCCCCTCCCCAGACCCCAATTTCTCGAATCCCACCAGCCCTTTAGGGCGTGAGTGATTTAGAGCGTTGCCTCTTCAAACCCCCTTTTCTTCCTATTCGGGCATGGGTTCATCACTGTTCCCTATTGTCGGCGGTGGACAAACCTCCCTTTAGTAGACCTCCCCTTAGTGAAAACGGCCTGGGACCGAAATCGACGGACCTGGACCCGCAAAAAATGACGGCCGCGACGCCCTCTCGCGAACCGAAAACGGCCAATTCCTTAATCGACGTGTCAGGGTAGGAGGTCTGTCCACCCCCGATATTGGTAAACACCCCCCTGGGCGACCGACAGCCAACCAGGAACAACGACAACCAACACCCCCCACCGTCCCCGTCGAAAAGCCATGCAGACTACACCGTGGGGCAAAATCTTGGGTCCTGTTCGTGGGCTCCGCGAGCACGCTGCACTGCTCGCTGGCAGGGGGCGATAGTAGACTGCCTGTTGTGCGCCAGACCGCAACCCCTGCCAAAAAAACAACCACACGTCGCGGCTGCATCTGGGCCACGCGCGGCCACCCCGCAATCGTTGTCCAATGGTGTTTGACGAGGACGGCGGGGGTGACGGCAGGTTGCCTGCTGTGTGCAGGCCCACGAAACACCATGACGGCCACCCCGCCGCGATGGCGCACTGGTTTGCGACAAGGACGGCAGGGGCCGACACGTTTCCCATCGGTTCCCGATGGCTGCTGCCGCGTGCGCGGGCGCACCTGGCACATCCTGCGCGTGCCCCGAACGTGGCGCACCTAGCGCGGCTGAATCATGCGGCACACCTAGCGCACGTGGAGCGCGTGGCGCATCTCGCCCCAGCGTCGCGCGCATGGGGTTTGACTTTGCTTCAAGTAGCTGTCCATCCGTAGACGACTGCTGAGCATGCTGGGGCTGGGGGGGCGACTTCTGTGTTGGAAGTGCATGGTGGGAGTGAGCAGATGGCTTGCAGGCGGAGAGGGTGCCTTGACCCCTCCCCCGTACCCCCTCCCCCTGAACCTGGACGGGCGGGGGGGGCTTGTGGGTCGTTGGAGCGTCCACAACGGCCTCGGCGAGATTACAAAAATCAGTGGTGCTGCCAAGATGTTGGCCACGACATTTTGGCCGTCTGGGGGTGGGGTCCGAATTGGAAACTCCCCCTTCTTTGATCGATCGCCCCCAAGATGGCCCCAAGATGGCCCCCGAGGCTACCAAGAGTGTCCCAGAGAGGCCCGAGAGGCCCCAGGGGGGCCCAAGAGGACCCCAAGAGGCCCCCCATAAGGCCCACAAGAAGCTCCCAAGAAACCCCCAAGAGGACACGACGACGCCCCAAGAGGCCCGCAGGATTACCACCCCCAAGACGCCCCAAAAGGACTCCAAGAAGCCCTCGAAAACCATCCGATGAGACTTCGAGAAGCATACAAGAGGCTTCCGGCCTTTTCTGCTCGCCCTCCTCCCCTCCACTTCCTCATCCGCCAATTCCTCCTCTTCCTCCTCTTCCTCCTCCTCCTCCTCCTCCTCATCATCCTCCTCCTCCCACTCCTCCTCCTCCTCCTCCTCCTCCTCCTCCTCCTCCTCCTCCTCCTCCTCCTCATCATCATCATCATCATCATCATCATCATCATCATCATCAGCATCAGCATCAGCATCAGCATCAGCATCATCCTCCTGTTCCTGCTTCTGCTCATCCTCCTCCTCCTCTTTCTCCTCCTCCTCCTCCACCTCATCCTCATCATCCGCATCATCCTCCTGTTAATTTGCCTCCTCACCTTCTTCGTCCTCCTCCTCAGCATCATCAGAATCATCATCATCATCATCATCATCACCACCACCACCACCACCACCACCATCATCATCATCATCATCATCATCATCATCATCATCATCATCATCATCATCATCATCATCATCATCATCATCATCATCATCATCATCATCATCATCATCATCATCATCATCATCATCATCATCATCATCATCATCATCATCATCATCATCAGAATCATCATCATCATCATCATCATCATCATCATCAGCATCATCATCATCATCATCATCATAATCATCATCAGCAACATCATCATCAGCGTCATCATCATCATCATCATCATCACCATCATCATCATCATCATCATCATCGTCATCATCAGCAGCAGCAGAAGCAGAAGCATCATCATCATCATCATCATCATCATCATCAGCATCAGTATAAGCATCATCATCAGCATCATCAGCAGCAGCATCATAATCCTCATCCTCATCCTCATCCTCGTCCTCAGCATCATGCTCATCAGCATCCTCAGCATCAGTATCATCCTCATCATCAGCATCATCGTCATCATCAGCTTCATCATCAGCAGCAGCATCATCAGCAGCATCATCCTCATGATTAGCATCATCATCAGCATCATCATCAGCAGCATCATCAGCATCATCCTAATCATCATCATCAGCAGCAGCATCACAATTTCTCATGTATCCCCCCATCTCCCCCCCCCCCACACACACACATCCTCCTCCTCCGCCTCCTCCTCGTCCTCCTCCTCCTTCTCCTCATCTTCCTCCTCCTCCTCCTCCTCTTCCTCCTCCTCCTCCTCCTGATCCCCCTTCTCCTCCTCCTCCTCCTCATCCTCCTCCTCCTCCTCCTCCTCCTCCTCCTAGTCCTCCCCATCCTCCTCCTCCTCCTCCTCCCCTCCTCCTCCTCCTCTCCGCCTCCTCCTCCTGATCCCCCTCCTCCTCCTCCTCCTCCTCCTCCTCCTCCTCCTCATCCTCCTCCTCCTCCTCCGACTCCTCCTCCTCCTCCTCCTCCTCCTCATCATCATCATCATGATCATCATCATCATCATCATCATCATCATCATCATCATCATCATCATCATCATCATCATCATCATCATCATCATCATCATCAACATCATCAGCATCATCATCATCATCATCATCATCATCATCATCACCACCACCACCATCATCATCATCATCATCATCAGCAGCATCATCATCATCATCACCACCATCATCCTCATCATCATCATCATCATCGTCATCATCATTACAATAACCATCACCACAAACATCATCATCATCATCATCATCATCATCATCGTCGTCATCATCATCATCATCATCATCATCATCATCATCATCAGCATTATTATCATCATCAGCAGCATCAGCATCGTCATCATCATCCTCCTCATCATCATCCTCGTCGTCAGCATCCTCGTCATCATCAGCATCATCATCATCATCATCATCAGCATCATCATCATCAGCATCATCATCCCAGTCATCATCAGCATCATCATCATCGTCATCGTCAGCATCATCATCCTCATCATCATCATCCTCATCATCCTCATCATCCTCGTCATCATCATCCTCATCCTCATCCTCATCCTCATCATCATCCTCCGCATCATCATCATCAGCAGCATCATCAGCATCATCATCATCAGCAGCATCAGCATCAGCATCATCATCATCGTCATCGTCATCATCATCATCATCAGCATCACCATCATCAGCATCAACATCATCATCATCATCATCATCATCATCATCATCATCATCATCACCATCATCAGCATCATCATCACCACCATCACCACCACCACCACCACCACCACCCTCATCATCATCATCATCATCATCATCATCAGCATCATCATCATCAGCGGCATTAGCAACATCAGCAGCACCAGCATCATCATCATCATCATCATCATCAACAGCAGCATCGTTATCATCAGCATCAGCATCATTATCATCATCATCAGCATCATCAGCATCATCAGCATCATCATCATCAGCAGCATCATCATCATCAGCATCATCATGAGAATCATCATCATCAGCATCATCATCAGCATCATCACTAGCATCATCATCATCATCATCATTTTCATCGTCGTCATCATCACCATCACCATCGCCATCATCATCATCATCATCATCATCACCATCATCACCATCACCACCATCATCACCTTCATCACCATCATCACCATCATAACCATCACCATCACCGTCACCATCACCATCACAATCACCATCAACATCATCATCATCATCATCGTCATCATCATCGCCATCGCCATCGTCATCGTCATCGTCATCGTCGTCATAATCATCAACATCATTATCATCATCATCGTCTTCATCATCATCATCTTGATCATCATCGTCATCATCATCGTCTTCATCATCATCTTCGTCATCATCGTCATCATCATCATCGTCATCATCATCATCATCATCACCACCACCACCACAACCATCATCATCATCATCATCATCACCATCACCATCACCATCACCATCAGCATCAGCATCATCATCGTCATCAGCATCAGCATCAGCATCGTCATCATCACCACCACCATCATAGTCATCATCATCATCATCATCATCATCACCATCACCATCACCATCACCATCATCATCGTCATAGTCATCCTCATCATCATCATCCTCATCCTCATTCTCATCCTCATCATCATCCTCATCCTCATCCCCATCCTCATCCTCATCCTCATCCTCATCATCATCAGCAGCAGCATCAGCATCAGCATCATCATCGCCGTCGTCATCATCATCAGCAGCAGCATCATCACCATCATCATCCTCAT